CTTCATGCAGTCTTCTCTTCTCCAGGCGCCTCAGCCTGTCCTCCTCTCAAGTTCGTGGCCCTCCTCTGGCCTTGCTCCAACTGTTCCATGTCCTTCTTATGTTGAGGGCACCAGAACTGTGTGCAGTATTCCAGGTGGGGTCTCACAAGAGCAGAGTAAAGGGGAAGAATCACCTCCTTTGACCTGCTGCCCACATTTCTTTTGATGCAGCCCAGGATTTGATTTGCTTTCTGGGCTGCTAACACACACTGCAGCTCATGGGGAGCTTCTCATCCACTGCCACTCCCAAATCTTTCTCTTCACTGCTGGTTTCATTACTTCCCCACCCAACCTGTAGGTGTACCTGGGATTGCCATGGCCCAGATGTAGGGCCTTGCACTTCATTTTGTTAAACTTCATAGGTTTGCATTGGCACACCTCTCAAGCCTGTCAAGGTCCCTCTGGATGGCATCCCTTCCCTCCAGCTGTGACTGCCCCACACAGCTTGGTGTCATCAGCGATGTATATGTCATATGGGAACAGCGTTGACTGGTTTAATACCACCTACTCCCAATTCAGCAGGGCACAACACATTCCCGAAACATAGGATGCCCAGATGATGACTAAAATGCCTTCATCATCAGAGGTCTTTGACCTAAGAAAAGGTCTTGAAGGGACCTGCTGCTGGCCAGAAAGTCAAGAGGAGGAAAAGAAATGTGGCTTGGAGTTGTCTTTCTTCCCATTTTATACTCTGAACCCGACAGCCTGTTCTCCTGACTAAAGAGCAAATGAAAAGAACATTTCTTGCAAAGCAATTAACAAAGAGTACAGAACAAACTTTTGGATTGGTTTCACTAACTCCTCTGTGTTTGATATTTCTAACTCCTAATGGTTTTAGCTGATAACACAAAGTGCTGCAAATGGGACTAATGACGTTCAGTAATGACTTTTATGAGCACCTGAATGTAGTGGAACTCTCTCCAGGTCAAAGAGTGACTGACAGATGGAATTGATGTTATTGCCAACAAAGCCAGCAAAGCAAGTCCCAGAATTCCTAGAGACACGTAAATCTCCATTCTCCAAACATCGTGCTCAATCCAGGCATTTTCTTTTCTTTCTTTGACCTGCCAAAAGAACAGCATATTTAAAATCACAGACTGGCACACTTGGCTGTTTGTGTGAAATACAATTTCAGTATTCACACACTATTTTCACCATGATATTCAGGAAATAAGCCGAGAAACACTGTATTTTGGGTTGTTTTAATGGCTCAGAATGTAATTGCTATTTACTTCTGATTACAAAGTCTCCACTAGTATCTACAGAGCAAAGGTGAGCTTTAAGAGAGAAGAATTTAGACTTCATCAGTGTCTTGGCCCAGGAGAAACTGGTTTTGAGGCCTGTTAACCTGCCTTCACAGCAGAATAAATCTTGGTTTTGACCAAAAAAAAAATCCATCTGTGGCTAAATGCCATACCAGAGAGATTAAAACATTACGTCAAAGCCAAATGATGGCCCAAATATGATCATTTCTGCATCTGGAATCTCATGGAAATTTATGGTAATGCAGTCAAGACAGATTACCAGTGAGGCTGATTTCAGAGTTTTCAACAGGTAGTTTGACTGTTTACAGAATTCTTAAGAAGCTGCTAACATCATACCGTGCTTTTAATAAAAGACTAGATTAGATTTTGAGGGTAACAAAAATGTACATTTTCAGTCCATACCTTATATTGGAATATTCCTTATTCTGCAGTACTTACGGCACTCGAGGTGAAATGTGAATATTAGGAACTCTCTAGTCACAGTGGACATTAGAAAGCCTTGCAAACCAATTATTGCCCATGACTAAGAAGCATAATTGAAATTCTTTTAACATCAGTCCAATTGTGAAGCCATCAGTGTTCACAAATTTGGTTTGTGGCAAATATAGATTATTGTGATTTAGCTCAGCCCTCCTTCACTGCTGGCTGATACACTCTGCAAAGAAGGTGTCTAAAAATGGTGTGTTCAGTTTTTGCTCTTAGATTCTACTAGTCCAGACAAGATTAATCCACACTAAACCAATAGTGGGCCGAAACCTTTAATGTTCTTGTGAGGGAGATATAATTATGTGCATTTTACAGAGAGATAAAAAAATCCCCAATGAAGAAAATTACTTATTTAATACCCACTGGCACAGCTGGGATGACTCTTGACCCTCTATTACATGCTTTAACAACTAGGTCCTGCTCCAATCCCTTAACAACGCACTCTGGGGATCTACTTCAAAATCAAACAAAGGCAGGGAAAATGGCTCTCCCCCATCCAGACTTGCTTGAATGACCAGAACAAGGATTTTCTGAATACAGAAGGGTTGGCGTTGCGTGCCCATCGTACCTGCTGGAATGCCCAGTTCAGCAGCTTGTATCTGTATGATCTTCTCATTGGATAGCACAGGCTATAGCAGGCGTGCATTGCAGCGAAGAAGAAACTGAGAAGTCCAAATTGTTTCCTTGATATCATCCATCTATCCAGCCACTGGGGAAACCTTTTATACTTGGTGCCAAAATACAGCTGGAAACCAGCAGCTAATATTCCTGGTAAATATACTAGTGCTAACAGGGTAATTGAAACCACTGGTAAAACTTTGTTTATGACAAGGATTGGGATTTTATAGAAAACTTTCTCCTTTCTGGTTACAAAAGGATATATGACATCTCTCATAGAAGTGTAAATAAACATTAATAATGAGATCACAGATGCTATCTTCATTGGCAAGTGCCACTTGGGGAACAGATCCTGCTTGCAGTGCTGTTCTGAGGAGTATTCAAATTCACCAAAATGGTGTGCTTGATGTAAACTAAAAAGTGCTGCTGTTTCTGGTGGATTGATGACTTGCATATCCACATTCTGTAAAGGACAGAAAGGAAATACAAAGTGAAGTCAAGAAAAGGGTAAAAACTTCAGTAATGACAGTATTTTCCATCATGACTTTTACACCATACCACACTGGAACCATATATAAAGCATCCACACTATTGAAGATGAGGTAGCTTGGAAACATAACATTTCAAACAGCACAGTCAGTACTTGAGCAAGGCAGTTTTAGCTCAGATTTCTCTTTCTTCATTATCTGCAGTGATTTCAAAATAGATTTGAATTTCAGGAAGTTAAGCACACTACAAGAGAAGAAGGATTACATTATGTGAAGCATCATTTTAGCTTCTTATGAGTCTCTAGTCTGTGATGAAGGGTGTAGACTATGCATTGCAGAACTGGAAGTTGTATAAATTATACAAACTCAGATTCACATCTGAACCGAGTTTCAACTAGAGATACCTGTTTCTTGAAGAGATAGTTTGTGAAGCCTAATTCAGTATTTCGCAGCCTGTGAGGTAGTTCACATTAGAACAGAAAGTTGCAGTCTGAACTGGTGCTGTCACTGAGGCAAGTGTTGTTGGAGTAGGGTTTTTTTGGGACTTTTTTTGGGATGATTTGAAAAACTTACTGAATGTAATGTGACAATCACAAAGATTCCTCCAAAGGTAAGTTCCTGTACAAAAAAATCCCAAATTATTTCTACAGAGTTTTGCTCATCTGGTAAAATGCAATTAGGACATACGCCCATGTAGATTTTAGCTGTCCCAAACTTTGTGTACTTTTTATCATGGACTGTGATTAAATTGAATGAGATGCTCTTTATCTTTTTATCTCATCATGTCAATATTGTGACAAGACTTTAGAAGCAATGATGATATGCCAGTATGATGTGAACACTGTTTCTGGACAAAATTGATGAAAGATTGCAATATTCTGTGTGACATATGAGCAACTTTTTTATAGAAACATTACCAAGTTGCTGAGGTTTCCTGTATTTCTTCTTGGCATGATGTTCTGACCTGCATTCTGATCAATGGCATGATTACCACCTTCCCTCTTCTCCATTGCGGAAACTCCCTGCAAAACAAACACAGGATGTAAAACAGGTTTTGAAATAGGAACTTTGAGGCCTATTTTCCCTCAAAATGTTTTCTTCCCTCTCCACACACTTGCTGGAGAAGGTACAATAAACTCGGGAAAACAAAGTCTGTCCTCTGAGAAGAGAATGGAAAAGCTCAGCTTGTTTTCTGGGTAAAGCAGTGACTCTGAGAAAGCACCAATCAACAGAACAAAATTGCTGATGAGAGATAGTATTCAAGCCTATTGTCCACATTGTCAATGGAATGAATGCATGAATTCAGGCTGAAAGTTTTTAAATTAGAACAAATACTTTTGAAACAGCTCATGGAAATAACATGTAAAATGTTATGAAGATGGATTTTGTGACATTCATGAGACTTGCTGATGCAAGAAACCCATGCAAATGTGTTGTTACTAATATTTTTTAGGTTTTAGGATGGGTCTACCTGACAGTCACTCTGCTGCTTTAGAGGCATATTCTTCCCTCAAGATTGTCAAGAAAGTCATCTGGAGCTTCACTCATGCCATTCCAAGGTCTCCTGATAATACTCATCACCCACAAGTACCAGCAGAAATTGTTCTAAGCTGTTAAGAACTACAAGAAATCAGATGCCAGGAAGAAAACAAAAAAGGATGAGAATGGATAAACTGAAAGAGATGTTTCTGAAAATCCTAGGATAGCAGGAAAGACAGTATCTTGAAGAGTATAAAATAACTACAGGATTGCAAGGACCCTGTAACAAGGAATTCCCAGGCGTGCACCACACTGTGGCATGCTGCATGCAGAGAGGCACTGGCACCATACCACTGGAAGCTCAGGATGCTGTACTACAGGGTGACCTTCTGTGCCTACCTTTAAGACAGTGACCAGGTAGCCCTTCCATGTACCTACTGAACAGGTGAATTACTAGATATTAAACTGCTTTGTATGGACAAATCAGAATTTGACAATTGTCCTTTTTGCTGTGTCTGGTTCCCTCAGTGGATGAGTCTTACAGTCTTTTACTGTCTGCTATGATGGTTTGCTCTCTGCTAGGCCATCAGACACCTGAAGCTGAAGTATTCTTTTCCTAAATATTTCTCTTTGTATTTTTCCCTCCTGCTAGCAAGCTCTCCCTTTGGCCATAACCTTTCAGCCAAGTGTTGCAGAGTAGGGTCAATAAGAGCTGTCTGAAGGTCAGGCTGTTAACCCTTTCCTACACCAGCTAACGGATGGTTTGTATATCCTGCACACAAGAAAGCATGGAGTGATGAAAACACATTTCTATTTCTTCCCCCTATTCCTAGGGCTGATCCCAGTGATTTTGTTACAAGTTTCCGGGTATCATATATCCTCATAAAACTCCTGCAGTCTCATGATTAGTTAAGAATTTCTACTTCTGTATGTTTCAATATACAGTATTTCCAGCTGTAACAATGGCAAACAGTAGTTTACAAACAGAATTCAGTATGTAGTACTACCTGGAAAAAAACCATAACAAGCACAGTGACCTCCAGATTTTGTTTTAGAGAACTCATACCGTGAAGGGCAGTCACCCTGTTTTTGAGGCCTACCTTCTGGCTACCAGACTCTTAGGGGTTCAAAAGCATAATTTAGATTGGGAAGCTCTATGTGGAAGAGCCAGACTCACCTGATTCTCATGCTGGTATCACTCTTCATTTAGAAAATTTAGAAACAAAGAGTCCAATAATAGCTTTTAGCTAAAGGTTTGCATTGATGAGGATGTAATAAACATGAAAAAGAAAAATCCATAAGCTAGAATGGCAGCTGTAGATTGTAAAAGCTCATTTACTGGTTCTTTTGGGATATAATGTTTAACACAATGTTAAGTACAATGATAATGGTTTATCTTGCATAAATCAAGAAAAGAAAAAAGAAAGTGTGTGTGAATGAATGCATGTGCTCATCCATGAAAATATGGGTTACAGCCATGCAACTGCATGCAAAGAAACAAAAGTACAAAACCATAATAATCCACTAGGCTTCTGATACCAATTAACACAAAATTATTTCCCAGTAACAAAGCACAGTAATAGTTGTGGAAAACCCTAAGTAAAGGGCACTTATAATTCCACTATTCAGTGCCTTATAAATAGTCAGTAAGAACTTATGTAGAGCATGTGTCTTTTTGGAATACATCTGAACTTTTTTGAATACTCTTTGATAGGAGCTGCAGTGACAGGACAAGGGGCAATGGGTACAGACTGAAAGAGGGGAAATTTAGGTTAGATATTAGGAAAAGGGTTTTTTACCATGAAGGTGGTGAGACACTGGAACAGGTTGTCCAGGGAGGCAGTAGATGCCCCAACCTTGGCAGTGTTCAAGGCCAGACTGGATGGGGCCTTGAGCAAACTGTGCTCAAGGTGAAGTGGAGAGGTGTCCCTGCCCATGGCAGGTGGGGTTGGGACTAGATGACCTGTAAGGTCCATTCCAACCCCTAAAATGCTATGATGCCATGAAGAAAAAAAATTAGGAGTCCTGTGAGAGCCAGAGACTAATCAGTTATAGTCCCATCTAAGTCATAACTGTTATGAAAGAAAACAGATGTATTAATGTCCGTCCTCAGTGCACACCCCTTTTGCTCTGAGAGGCAGCTGTCAATGAGGATGGAGGATGTCCTGTTGCAGAAAGCCAATCTTCCAGTGCTGTGAGTATGCTACTGCATTTTGTCCCTTGAAAGCAGCTCACTGCAACGCTGTGCCAACTAGGATCCACACCGTGCAGGCATTACCCCGAGAAAACATTATCCCAAGTCAATGAGAAGTTTCCCTGAGTAAGGGGTTTCAGGGTTGGTGCCATGAAACAAGAAAAACGGACAAAACAGGCTATGATAATAACGATGAGGTGATGGAAGAGGCACGGGCTAATGACTGCATCTCTCTCCCTTGGCACTATCGGTGAACGACAGCCTGGAAGCGCTGGGCATAGCAGCGTCACTCTCCGAGTGCCTACTGCATCGTGCAGGGCACTGCAAGCACTGGGCGAGCAGCTTAATAACTTTCCCCGCTCTTCAAAAATTCTGCTGAGCT